AAAAAAACAAAAACCATAATCTTTCCCCGTTTCGCGTAGAATTTTAATGATATTCTACAAAGTAGGGTTTCTGGTTATCATCGGAAAACAAGTGATAAAATCACCGGGTTATGAAGAAAAAAAAAACATTAACAACGCAAATTCAAAGCATGACTGCTGTTAACATCAATCAAAGCTACAAACGCGATGAGATCAATGGTTTTATCCAAAAACTAAAGAATAACCAATGATTTTGAACTCGGCACGGGCGAAATCTAAAGTATACTGTTGAAACATATCTCAAAGTGATTTTCGGTACCTGGGTTACAGAGAGATGTCGATGCAGTCAGGGTGCAATTGCAGAAGAATCGGTCGAGAAAAAAATGAAGAGTTTTGAATGGAGGAAGCCTATCCCCGACTTTTGGATCGGGAAGAAGCACATCTTCCAGTTTGTTTACGAGAGCCACGGAAAGGATGGCTCATAGACTCCACATTGTCAGCCTGCAATGGAACTGAGGATACAGGATACTCTATTTCGTTCAATATATCATTACAGATAAAGAAGCAGAAGCATCTGGCAAATACCAATCTCCTGGTGCTATATGTTCTTGAACTTTCCCATAGGGTTCTTCCTCCGTCGCAATGTTCCAGAACCATTATGAGAAAATTCCCGGCCTAAAAGCGAAGAACAGAAATGTCACTGGGAAAGAAGACCGAACATACAACTTGGAACCAGAAAACTCATCCCAAATTGAAGATTACAAACAGGGGACGGCTCAAAAGAGTAGATTAGTGGCAACTAGACAGACTCCAAATCAAAGCACGAAGAAACTCTTCTGGTATTGTGCATAGTTCTACACTCCTAATTGAAAACCATTTCAAATTTCATCAAAAGGAACTCCTCCACAAGCACGAACTTAGACGGATGAAATCAAACCTGGAAGAATTGGAGATGAAGACCGATGATATTGGAATGGTTGATGGAAGAGAGAAAAGAGAGCTCCGGAAATGGTGATTGAGCTCCGGAAATGGTGATTGAGCTTCGTGAGATCGACGCAGCTCCTTCTCCGGTGAATCTCTGCTCCGATCTCATACCATCGAGAACGAACTCTCTCCGAGCTTCGATTTCGCTACGTAGTCTCCGATCAGGGCAAATGCCCTTCTCAAGTTCTCATGATCCACCAAAAAATTATAAGAATTTATCAAATGTCAAATTTATCCTTCAATTTAGAGATAAAGACAGATTTAAAGGAAGGAAACAAAAAACAAATGTAAGTGTGGGAGGGGTGGGCGGGGTACTTGAAACCTGCGGGTTTTCGGGTATCCGATCTTACAGGTATTCAAAACACGAGTATCTTTTATATAACGAAGACGAAAACGGATTTGATGAAGCCAAAAATCTGGATTGCGGGTTCGAGTTCGGGTTTTATTTGAATGGCGCGGGTACCGGCTACGAATAAAATTACGATTATATCCCTGATATTTTGATATATTTATGATAATTATTAAAAATATTTTTATATTAAATTACTAAAATATCCTTAAAGACAACAAAAGTCTCCGATCAGGGCAAATGCCCTTCTCAAGTTCTCATGATCCACCAAAAAATTATAAGAATTTATCAAATGTCAAATTTATCCTTCAATTTAGAGATAAAGACAGATTTATCCCTAACGAATTTAAAGGAATGAAACAAAAAACAAATGTAAGTGTGGGAGGGGTGGGCGGGGTACTTGAAACCTGTGGGTTTTCGGGTATCCGATCTTACAGGTATTCGAAACACGGGTATCTTTTATATAACGAAGACGAAAACGGATTTGATGAAGCCAAAAATCTGGATTGCGGGTTCAAGTTCGGGTTTTATTTGAATGGCGCGGGTACCGGCTACGAATAAAATTACGATTATATCCCTGATATTTTGATATATTTATGATAATTATTACAAATATTTTTATATTAAACTACTAAAATACCCTTAAAGTCAACAAAAGACTACATTTTCTAAAGATTGGACGAGTTCGAGTATTCTCGGGTAATCGAGTTCAACGACGGGTACCCGAATCATGGGTACCCGGATTTCACGGAAACGAAAACGGGATAATGTTTTCTCAAAGCCTGCAAAGACGAAGACGTAGTTCGGGTACCCTAAAAACTCAGGGTACGTGACCTGCACCCAACCATAGTGGGAGTGGGAGACTTGAAAAAAAAAACCCAACAATGAACAAACCATGCTACCAAAATCAAATTTTCTAAACAAATCAATTTATCTATTTTGATTTAATTATTTATTGTAATTGATTACAATATTTATTCACAATTTTATCGCGTAAAAAATATACTAATTCTTACCAATTCTATCTTAGATCATTTTGATTGATTTCAGATAAAAATTTGTTTTTTTTAATTATTTTTACTTTTTATTTAAACTATTTTAAAATCTAACCATTTATCTATTATATACTATGGGTAACAAATACGTATATCTATATATAATATACCATATATGGCTAAAGTCAAATTTATAAAATAATAAAATAAATGTATAATCCATATATTTTATTAATATTAAATTTTGAATGTTATTTATTCTTTTGATGATAAAAATGAAAAAAAAAATATTACAATATTTTAAAAAATTGGTCACTCATATAAATTTTTTTAATTGAGGGATTATAGATGTTTGAATTAATTATTGAAGAGAATATTATATTTATATATAAATAATATATATATATACATTTAATCACACATATATATTAGAAATTCTCTAACGGCTATATTTTGATTTTAATGTCATAATCAATATATGGTGTAATTGTTGTTTAATGTAGAGATTATGACCACTAATGACAATTGGTCTAATATGCAAATACAGAAAAAATATAGGGATCAAATAATTATGCAGATACTATGAAGTATAATTTCCTAAATTCTTTATGGACGGATTTAGAAATTATACAAACCTATTACTATAAATAGTGGTAGTGGACATTAGACTGAACGTACAGAAAATCTGTGTGCACCCATTTGTCACATAATAAACTTTCTTACGTGATATCCTAGAAGAACTCTACCCACACTTTGTCATTTGTCAACTCACAATGGATTTAGGTATGTTCTAAATTCCAGAACAGTTCTTTGTGTGGTGTGCATGATGATTGGTCCAATATAAAATATTCCGCAATATACAATATAGTATTTCTGTAAAATACTAACAAGTGGTATCAGAGCCACTTCATGGCATATCACATAGAGAATTAGCACGAATCTGAATACTTGTATGTTAAATAATATTCATATATAATTTCGGATTGATAGGAGTACAAGAAAATATACATGAATGATATGATTATGTTATTGCATGTTGAATAATTACAATATATATATTTTCAGTTTAACTTGAAACTTATAGAATATGCATATATGATCAGCATGTAATATGGACAATTCTGTATGTTTGTGTGGAATTTTGAATCAATAAAACATATAGAAATAATATCGAAAATGAAGTATGCAAATACACAGAACAAATAATTTTTTCGTGTACTAATCAGAATAATGCATGTTAAGTGAAATGTACGTTTCTATTTTTTAAAATTTTCTGCCTAATTTTCTGGATATATAAACATTACTCTTGTATTCAGAAAACGTATATATATATAAACAAATATATACAATCATATATTCAAACAAAACTTAGAAATAGAAAATATATATGAAAATCTATATATATAAGATATGTAATTATATATATACACAGAAAATTAAAACAAACAGAAATTTAGAACCAAAGGATAGAAAAATTCTTATGAAGATTATATGAAAATCTCATCAGGATTTAGGAGAACTAAAAAATAAACTCAAACCGATATTTTAATGTAGCCACCACCAAAAAATGAGATTCTAACAATTGTAATTTCACGTTTTTTGGAAAACCGAAA